ATAGCTTAGATGTTCAAACTTATCTTAAACTTATAGCTTAGATGTTCAAACTTATCTTAAACTTATAGCTTAGATGTTCAAACTTATCTTAAACTTATAGCTTAGATGTTCAAACTTATCTTAAACTTATAGCTTAGATGTTCAAACTTATCTTAAACTTATAGCTTAGATGTTCAAACTTATCTTAAACTTATAGCTTAGATGTTCAAACTTATCTTAAACTTATAGCTTAGATGTTCAAACTTATCTTAAACTTATAGCTTAGATGTTCAAACTTATCTTAAACTTATAGCTTAGATGTTCAAACTTATCTTAAACTTATAGCTTAGATGTTCAAACTTATCTTAAACTTATAGCTTAGATGTTCAAACTTATCTTAAACTTATAGCTTAGATGTTCAAACTTATCTTAAACTTATAGCTTAGATGTTCAAACTTATCTTAAACTTATAGCTTAGATGTTCAAACTTATCTTAAACTTATAGCTTAGATGTTCAAACTTATCTTAAACTTATAGCTTAGATGTTCAAACTTATCTTAAACTTATAGCTTAGATGTTCAAACTTATCTTAAACTTATAGCTTAGATGTTCAAACTTATCTTAAACTTATAGCTTAGATGTTCAAACTTATCTTAAACTTATAGCTTAGATGTTCAAACTTATCTTAAACTTATAGCTTAGATGTTCAAACTTATCTTAAACTTATAGCTTAGATGTTCAAACTTATCTTAAACTTATAGCTTAGATGTTCAAACTTATCTTAAACTTATAGCTTAGATGTTCAAACTTATCTTAAACTTATAGCTTAGATGTTCAAACTTATCTTAAACTTATAGCTTAGATGTTCAAACTTATCTTAAACTTATAGCTTAGATGTTCAAACTTATCTTAAACTTATAGCTTAGATGTTCAAACTTATCTTAAACTTATAGCTTAGATGTTCAAACTTATCTTAAACTTATAGCTTAGATGTTCAAACTTATCTTAAACTTATAGCTTAGATGTTCAAACTTATCTTAAACTTATAGCTTAGATGTTCAAACTTATCTTAAACTTATAGCTTAGATGTTCAAACTTATCTTAAACTTATAGCTTAGATGTTCAAACTTATCTTAAACTTATAGCTTAGATGTTCAAACTTATCTTAAACTTATAGCTTAGATGTTCAAACTTATCTTAAACTTATAGCTTAGATGTTCAAACTTATCTTAAACTTATAGCTTAGATGTTCAAACTTATCTTAAACTTATAGCTTAGATGTTCAAACTTATCTTAAACTTATAGCTTAGATGTTCAAACTTATCTTAAACTTATAGCTTAGATGTTCAAACTTATCTTAAACTTATAGCTTAGATGTTCAAACTTATCTTAAACTTATAGCTTAGATGTTCAAACTTATCTTAAACTTATAGCTTAGATGTTCAAACTTATCTTAAACTTATAGCTTAGATGTTCAAACTTATCTTAAACTTATAGCTTAGATGTTCAAACTTATCTTAAACTTATAGCTTAGATGTTCAAACTTATCTTAAACTTATAGCTTAGATGTTCAAACTTATCTTAAACTTATAGCTTAGATGTTCAAACTTATCTTAAACTTATAGCTTAGATGTTCAAACTTATCTTAAACTTATAGCTTAGATGTTCAAACTTATCTTAAACTTATAGCTTAGATGTTCAAACTTATCTTAAACTTATAGCTTAGATGTTCAAACTTATCTTAAACTTATAGCTTAGATGTTCAAACTTATCTTAAACTTATAGCTTAGATGTTCAAACTTATCTTAAACTTATAGCTTAGATGTTCAAACTTATCTTAAACTTATAGCTTAGATGTTCAAACTTATCTTAAACTTATAGCTTAGATGTTCAAACTTATCTTAAACTTATAGCTTAGATGTTCAAACTTATCTTAAACTTATAGCTTAGATGTTCAAACTTATCTTAAACTTATAGCTTAGATGTTCAAACTTATCTTAAACTTATAGCTTAGATGTTCAAACTTATCTTAAACTTATAGCTTAGATGTTCAAACTTATCTTAAACTTATAGCTTAGATGTTCAAACTTATCTTAAACTTATAGCTTAGATGTTCAAACTTATCTTAAACTTATAGCTTAGATGTTCAAACTTATCTTAAACTTATAGCTTAGATGTTCAAACTTATCTTAAACTTATAGCTTAGATGTTCAAACTTATCTTAAACTTATAGCTTAGATNCATTATTATAACATGAAATAGCGATTTATTTTTAAGTAGTGTGTCACAACACATGAATAAGCGAAATCTGGCGAATTTGAGACGGCGAATTTGTGATGTATGATTTGTTGGTATAATCTCGTTTACATAAGGCAAAAAGTTGACTCAATTCTTATTTTTTGTTAATCATAGCTACAAACTTATTATTACTTATTATTTCCGAGTGTCAAAAAGAATTTTGTTTAAGGGAAATCTGTAAAATAATATTTTATGTCACAGTTTTTATCGAAAGTAAAAAGAACAATCATCAATAAGAAACTGTTTAGCTAAGAATTGACGGAAAAAGTGGAACAATCAAAAATAGTTGGTGCTGCCATCTATCCCTTATATCAATAACAAACAATAAAATCCAGAATTTCTTTTAAATTTCCTTTTTTTTCTTTTTCATTTTACAGTTTATGACGTCAAATCTGCTTTTTAACACAATTTACATTTTACTACGCGATTTTGATCATTTAGGGGGGAGAAACGTCATTCATTCTGCAGGGTTATAAAATATTTGAAATTCAAAACTGAAATAGTTCTAATCAGAATAAGATCTTTTTAAAAAAGAAAATCGATCAAATACCATACCCTTAAAAAAGCAACAATGGTCTTATTGATTCACGTTAGTTCACGTATCAAATATTATCAAAGTAGCAATATTAAACGGTATAATTATTGCAGAATAAAACGTACAAAAAAGAAAGATTTATTGAATGATAAACTTTGAAAATTTCAACTTCAAGAAAATTGAGTTGCAATATCTATTGAAATAAAAAGAGGGGAGCATTAGCTTACAAAAGTGTGTTGATATTCAAGTAACAGCTTTGCGAAACAGGTAATTTTAACCAGGCAACACACTACAGTGTAGCTATAGCAATTACGACCTCAGACAGTGTATTCTAATTAAAGAGGCATAACTTCTTTTGTGGCTAAAATTGATGGATGTTTAGAAGCAAACAGTTTTAAGTTTCTAGTGACTTGTAATTCAGTGTTGAGAACTAGCAACATTGAGCCAGAAAAGGTTAAATGAGCTAATGAGCATAAAAAGAGGAGTGTAATTACTACTAACGGGAGCCAAAGGGGGAAAAACGCTGGGAAAATATATGCATTGGAGATCGAAATGGGCTACCTGAGATACAAATGTCCGATGTGTAACCCGTTTGTCAATAACAAAATGTAACGTTAAGTTGGACACCCTAAATAACGACTTTCACAATAGAGAAATGCAAATGTCCGATGCGTAACTGGTTTGATACACGGCAAATATTTAAAAATAGGTACTTATATTTTTCTTCAATATGCCATTTACTTATACATCATTCACTTATTACTCATTATCACTTATTCTCATTAAAATCTGGTAACTCATTTGCGGTAACTCTGCATATACGAAGCAATAAAAATTTAAAATATTATATGTTCCAGAAGAAATGTTTAATTAATTTTTATTAGCTTTAGTCCATGAAACAATTTCATTCATGCATTGGTTCATTTTGGCTTCTTTTTTTTCTTCCTAATCTCAATGACATCCGTGAAAATAAAATTTTCAAACTGAAGTTTTTTGTCCGCTTGTTTGTGTATAAAATTATTGTAAACCTACATTTAAATTACCAAAATAAAAAATCAGTAATTGGGGGAAAATAGAGCTTTTCAAGTGATACTTTTACCCATTGTTCTATTCCCAATGTGTTGTGTAATCAAAACTATTGCATGTTTTTTTTTGTTGTAAACCATACGCTAAATGCTAAACATGCAGATTCGTGTAAAGAAACTTTTCATTTTAATATGCTTTTTCCGACTTTCTTTTACTTTAGGTAAGTTTTTTTTTCTCATTATCTAATTCAAATCAAGATAATTAATTAACCGCCAATTGCAGTTTTGGTAAGTTTAATCGTTTTTACGCATCTGTTTAAAACTACAATATTGGCAAAATTATTATAGTAATAATCTTTTTTTCCAACAAACGTTATAAGGCAAAAACAAGAATTCATTTTTTAACCATATTTTATTAATATTTGGTCGTACTCTGAATTTAAACTTAGTTTCAAAGTGCCATGATTTCAATAGATATATTTTTTTTATTCCCTCCTTATTTTGTATTTTAACAAAAAAAAAATTCGCATGAAAACATTTTCTTATGGTTGCTTATTTTAATTTTCCAAAACAGGACAATGTTCAACAAACAATATTCAGTACGCAACTGGAAATTTTAACTTAATCTAATTCTACTAACACTGCTACAAAATTCTGATGCAAACATTCTCGTTCTCTTAAAATTATGGACATTCTCTAAAACTGCACAGTGAGCAAACAGTAAACACCCTCAAAAACTTTCATTGCATTAAAATTTTGGTTTTTAATATCAGAATTATGTTTAGTTTCCTTTTACCAGAAATATCATTGCTATACAGAACGGTAATTTAACTAGAAATTTTTTCTCCGTATGGCTATTTTAAAAGGTTTACCTAAAATATGTGTGTTTTTGAAAGATTGCAACAAAAGAAATAAATAAATTTAAGATAAATTTAAGATAAAATCAAAATTAACGTAATTCATTCTTTTAAAAATGCGAGATAATGCAAATAATACATTTATGGTATTTAAATATCATTCTACTTAGCAAATAGAGTAATTACATAAAACAAAAAATAACTACTGATTAAATATCACGCATTGTTTTTAATATATAGTATGTTTAGGAATCTTATAATAAAAAGGAACATTTTGTTGTTTTAATGAAATCTTTTTTCTTTCTCAATAGATGGGCGAGTAACTAGAATGATTAACGGAATAGTAGCAAAACCCAAGCAATTTCCTTTTGTGGTAACTTTGTTTATATTGTTTGCTTGTATAATGCAATGTTATGAGCCGTGATGATTCATGGGATAGAGCTTTCGCCTTCCATTGAGGTTAATCGGGTTCGAATCCCTGCGATGACTGGTCGTTTGTGGCCTTTTTGCGAATTAAGTCAAGACGTTTGTCAAAGGAGCACCGCAAAGGTGAAAGTATGTCTTATCTTAGCACCCCACGGATTAATGGCAGCACCACTCATTCATGCGAGGCCACTTCCTCAATTTAGACATAGAGTATAAAGCTACTTGCTCAATTTAGACATAGAGGAAGGAAATTTTCTCCAGGTCCCCATGTTACTGCTCAGCAACCGACCACAATACTTTCGATTCACAGATTTTTGCGAGAACGTATATCTCATATATTTGACAGGCCCGATTCTCTACCACAGGGCTACCACTGTCCAACGTAAAATATTTATTAATGCTTTGATCATCTGATCAGATCTTGGGCTTCACATTCTTGAAGGAAAATAGCTTATTACCTTCCAGAAATATGATACATGACCTTTCAAAAATCAACTTTTTTTTCTATCAGGAAGTTATGAATAAATAAAATATACCTTCAAATATATACTTTTTTTCTTTTAAAAAAGTACATATATGTGCCAAATATAACACTTAAGTTTCCATTGTATTCATAAACGTACTTTTTCTTTTAAATAATTATTTACACTCGAAACATAAAATTTAAATATGACCTACATTTAACGTACTGAACAAAGAGACGTATACCTTTACAAAGTTACGGATATAAAAATTATTTCTTTAACATTCTAATAAAAAAGAATCTTTGCACTATGCTATTAAAATAATAGTAAAGATTGTTTGTAAGTTATTTATTAACACAGATTATTGAAAAATTTTCAACAAAAAAAAATTTGCATCTTTCAATAAAAATTATTTTCACCCACCATTAAGCAAAACACTTATCGAGGACCATTGAGTGTTGCCGACAGGATAATTTACCATAACTGTTGTAAAAAATTCTCCATCAAATGACTGTAAAAAATATCGATATGGAGGGTACGGAGATTCCATAATATCCATTTTTACCGGAGCATGCTACAGAACAAAAAATCTGATATGCCGTAATTTTTACAGTAATAATAACCGTAAAATCACAGAATCTCTCTAATTAAATAAATATTACTGTAGAAATTACGGTATAATATTATATGGTAAAAAATGAATTTCACGAAAAATGGATTTTACGGATGATGCACCCAAAGTGCCGGAACCTTATACGATAATTTTTTACAGTGCCGATTTTTTTAACTATGCCATTGTATAAAATTATTACATATTTTCTTACATATATTTTATAGGTAGATCTGCACATAGGAACCAATTCTTGCAGTGGATTATTGATTACTCCTAAAACTGTCATTACCGCAGGTCATTGTTTACGAATGTAAGACACATTACTAGTTAGCATTTGTAATGGCTGTAAATTGTATGTTGCGTTACTAAGCAATATTCAGAATTTCATTATTGCTATCCTTACATATATTTCCTCATAAATTCTTGGCAAAGACTATTAGAGACCACTTTAAGGATCGCAAACATATTTTCAAGCGGAAAAAATTAATGAAAACTTGATCAAAAATTGATGAGTTTCTATCAATTTTGATCAAAGTAAAAATAGTGAAATGGGAATTAAATTTATTCAAACCAGTTTGTTTGTCAAATGAATATTTAAGACAGGACTATACGTAAGATAAAGTTATTAAGAGAGTCTAAAATGCATACCGAAGGCCCACTAAAGTCCATATCCACTCATAAGTCCATTTAAAAAATAACAATTTAATTTCTTGTTAATGAAAAAGAAAATAGGGAAGTTAAATTTTAAAATTCTTCAAAAAAATGTAGATACTAATATCAAAAACTGTTGTAGACAAATTTAACTGCGGATACTTTTATTCAAAATATATCAAAAACTTTAAAACTTAAGCAACATCAATCATATCAACTGTAAGAAACATTTAAGTTTAAAAAATTTTTGCAAAAACAACTCATTGGTGATTTGTGTCCATTTTTTACATGTATTTTGTATGGTACAACACTATAAAAAGAATCAAAACACTGCATTTTAAAAAAGTTTTTCAAAGCTGTGCTCTGGACTCCTTTAAACTATTAAAATCGTCTGAGTTTTTAGTTTAACAATAATCTGGTGTTAATCTTATGAAAAAAAAATTTTAAATGAAAAAGGACTTTAAAATATTTTAATTAAAAATTCGAAAGTCGAGCTTCGAGGTGAACAAATATGTGTTCTCAAATGCCTTTACTACAACTTTCGTTGCTTTAAGTGCTTCCGTTTGCGATAAATCGAGAAGCAGACACCCATAAATTCTTTACATTTTTCATTATGAATATGTAAAGCACACCATAAGTTTATAAGTTTCTGAATAATTTGATTCCATACGTCATAGAAGAACTTGTATGTAGTAGAGAAGCATCATAGATTCAAACAATAACGTAAAGATTCATGATTATAAAGTATATAGACAAGAAAAGGATCAACTGACAATGATACTTTTTAAAAATTTTATTGTTAAAAATTACAATAAATAAATAGCTGCTCCAGGTAAATTTTCACATCATTGTGTAGAATAATACTTTAGATGATAAATCTACTAGTTACGATAACTTGTAACTATAAGAGTATGAATCAACTACTTTAAAGTTGTAATAAATTTGTACTCGTACAGCACCTATTTATTTCTAAAAGTTTAAAAAATAACTGATATTTGCTGCATGTTGTTGTTGCATCTGACATATGTCAGATAAGCTCCAAGATGCTGTTGACCGCAAGAAAATGAGCAACAGAAAGAGGATATGATGCAAAATCTACCTTACGAAATCTGGCAAAACATACTATGTTCCGGCGTAGCTGGTTGAACACACCTTTTTTTGCAAGTGGGTATGTACAGAGCGCAAAAAAACAATTAAACAAATTTAATTTATCTAACTTTATTGAAATTCAATTTCTCAGGAACTATTCGACCGATTTTGCTCAAATTTTGTATTTTGACAAATAAAATTACATTCTTTAAAAAAGATGTAAAAATTTTATACCTTACAATTCAAAATTTTTTCGACCATAATTGAATAAAATAATAAAACGTAATAAATGTTTACAAAAATTATTTTTTTCATGGAATTATTTTTGTATAAACGAATTTTATAACTGCATGCGAAATTTTTCAATTTACTTAAGAAGTTTCCGGGATATAGCAAAAAAAAAAACCAAAAAAAAAAAAGAATAAGCATTACAGGGTCCAAACTTTGGAACCGTATCTTGACCAAACTATTTGAACCATATTTCCCAGATTGCGGCTACGCCCTACATTTGGAGGGTCAAAAATCTGAATCCGTTGAATCCGCTGAATCCGTTGAATCTGATCTGATTTCGTAACTTAAAATATCGTCTGCACTCATTAATTAGCATATTTGAAGTCACCCTCTTGAGCCATTAAGATTGAGTAGAAAATGTGAAAATCCGATCGTTTAAATCAACAGTTATTCATAGTAGTCCTTTTTTGCGCACTGTACTATGGAATAATAATCTTGTTAAGAATATCTATAAAATATTACAAGTTTNCAAAAAAACAATTAAACAAATTTAATTTATCTAACTTTATTGAAATTCAATTTCTCAGGAACTATTCGACCGATTTTGCTCAAATTTTGTATTCTGACAAGTAAAATTACATTCTTTAAAAAAGATGTAAAAAATTTTATACCTTACAATTCAAAATTTTTTCGACCATGATTGAATAAAATAATAAAACGTAATAAATGTTTACCAAAATTATTTTTTTCGTGGAATTATTTTTGTATAAACGAATTTTATAATTTGCATGCGAAATTTTTCAATTTACTTAAGAAGTTTCCGGGATATAGCAAAAAAAAACAAAAAAAAAAAAAGAATAAGCATTACATGTTTCAAACTTTAGAACCGTATCCTGATCAAACTATTTGAATCATATTTCCCAGACTGCGGCTACCCCCTACATTTTGAGGATCAGAAATCCGAATCCGTTGAAAAAATGACTTGTTTATTCAGAGAAAGTACGTTTTTGTATCTGATTTCGTAACTTAAAATATCGTCTGCACTCATTAATTAGCATATTTGAAGTCACCCTCTTGAGTCATTAAGATTGAGTCCTAAAATGTGAAAATCCGATCATTAAAATCAACAGTTATTCAAAAAGTCCTTTTTTGCTCACTGTACTATGGAATAATATTCTTGTTAAGAATGTCTATAACGATACAAAGTCAATCGTCCTCTAAGAAGTCTCAGTGGTTGAAACACTGAATTATCATTTTGAGGTATTGGGACTCATCCCCAGTGAAAGCGTAATCTGAACAGACGTATTTTAGTACCTTACTGTTGCTGTCAAAATTCTGGTAAAGAATATTTTGTATTTAATTAAAATATATTCATATATTCTAAATATGAATAATATAGATGTATAGTATAAATATTTTCATATATATTCATATATTCGGTATGGATAAGATATATAATAAGACTTACCTATGAATTTATTTATTAATTCTGCAACAATTTCTAAACTTTATATTGAATTAATATGCATCTTTTTCCCTTTACAGCAATGATACAGTAATGTACAAAGTTTATATGGGGAATATAAAAAAGCAAATAAAGAATAAACTTATGGAAAAAACAGTTCAACTTCAAAATGTTTCAAAAATTATTCTGCACCCTAAGTTTGAAAATCTGGAAGTAATATCTGATGGCATAAACAGCTATGATATCGGTATCATTATCTTGAAAAATCCTTTTAAGATGACGCCATCTGTAAAGACAATATGCTTGAAGAATAAAAAACGTCCATATCCGAAGAAAGCCATCTCTATTGGATTTGGACAGACTGAGCACTGTAAGAAATATTCTTCAGCATGATCATATTTATACAATGGCGATGTCCAAACGGACGTCACTTGAATGTACCTAATCTTGATTTTCTTATAATCTTGCAACAATTTATCTGTGAACAACTCGTGGTATTTTCATTTTGTGACGTGGCAAGGTTAACAGTTAACCTATCTCATAGCCAAAATGTAAATATTAGCCTCAATCTTGTTCAAGATGAAACGAAACTGATTTTCAAACCTAAATAGGGAACGAAATGTCTTCCTCACTCATCAACAACTAGAGATCGTTACGTTATAGAACTGGCTGAACCTCTTTCCTGCCTATAGTCACGCAGTGGACTGATCGTAAAGACACGGTTTCCCAGTAAAACACCGAAGTCACGCATCACTGGTTGCGGTCAGTAATTGGGTTGGTGACCACCTCGATCAGCCTTCGTAGTGACCGAGGGGGAGTGGTATCGGCCCTCGTTAAATTATTCTGCCGTGAAGTGCTTGACTTCGCGCGCAGGTCGTCAGGCTACCAAAGCGGAGGAGCCATCCCTAGCAATCAGGAAACGCAAACAATAAATAACGCGTGATGAATGGAACCTATTAAATGTTCTTCATGTTCGATCGAGCGATATCTATTGGTTGCCGATAGTAGCAAAAAGGTATTTGGAAAAGACATTGTTTACATTAGCAATCAGGAGACGCAAAGAATAATCAGAACATGCTGGCGAATTTTCTTAATTGCTTCGTTTCCGCCTAAATCTTTTTAGCCAGGAAAAAGGCTTGACCGTAAGGATTAGTTATTGAGTGAGAAAAAAAACATCTTAGTCGCAATACAGGAGTTGAAAGCATCTTCAAATTGAAAAAATGACCCATTCTCTATCGATGATTAACCGTATACATCTAAACTCAGATTGCGTTAGTGGCGATCAAAATAAGAAGGTTTCAGATTACTATTTTCAATTATTTCTTACGGGATGGTTATATGCAAGTCATATTTTCTTTTTCATTTCTTCTACTAGATAGGGAAAAATCTCATAGAATTAAAACAACAATTTATTCACACACAGTTACAATAATAAGTTTATACGGGTGTACGGATGTACCTGAATAGGCTAATTTTAAAAAAAATAATTAGATTTTATAAGATAGTTCTATGTGTGAAACACACATATTTTCATTTCTTTTCCTAGACCAAAAATATAACTCATAGGTTCAAAAGAACAAGTGCGTTGCATATAGTTACTAAGAAATTATTTTCCTATATATATATTAATGAATAAAAACCGGTTTTATGAGGTTGTTCTATACATGTCACACATTTTTCAATTCTTCTATTAGATTAAGAAAAAAACTCATAGAATTAAACATCAATGACGTTGGGCGCAGTTGGAAGAAAAAAAAGTTAAACAAGTATATCCATTTGTCTGGAAACAGTCAATTATTAAAAACCGATTTCACAGAACTCATAAAATTATAACAGCAATTTTGCACAGTTTCCCAAGGAAATGAAAATATTTGAACAGATACAATCTACTTGTCCAAACAAGCCCAATGATCAAAAATTGATTTCAGCGTGATTCTACGTCTGTTACATATGCTTTCATTTCTTTTATTAGATAATAAAACTCTTGATGGTGGATACCTACGATATTTCGAAGTGGATATACTAAATCCGATTGTCTGTGCAGTGATCTTTCGAGCAATTGGACTTGCAATCACCAGGAAAGAGATTTGTGCTTCCTTCACCAGAGCTGGGGCAATGTGTTCCGTAAGTGATGAAAACATCAGTGAACAAATTTTTTTTGTTGCGTTTATGCAAACACTTGATCTTGTCTAATTCGGGTGTGGGGATTTAAAATCAAAAATTAATTTTACTTCTAAGGCTGCAGATTTTTTTAATGGCATTTTCAGTCTATTTTATGTCAAAATGAATAAAAATAAAAACGTTATACAAAACAAGGGGTCGCATAAATGTTGCTACGAACTTCTAAGGCAATTAAGGCACATCATCAGGATTAAAATTGCATAGGAACTCATGCTCAGAAATGTCGTCATGCGCGGCGAGGCACGATTTCTTATTATGAACTGTTCAGAAGCAGAAAGAAATGGTTCATTACAGGAAAGCGCCCATGGCGTATTTTTTTCTATTTTGTTTTATTTCATAACAGTAGTTGAATAGCCGACCCAATTGTTTAGGTTTACGACTACTAATGCTCAACTCCGCAGCCTTGTAATTTAGAACCCTATCCAGAAGACTAGGGAACACCTTGATCAAGTATTGGGAGAAATTTTGCCTAAGTGGAGGACTTTTTTGATAGAACTAACCCGCATTTGCGTTGCATGGAGAGGAGAACCACGAAAACCTCTCACTGTTAGCTTGACGGCAAGGGGACTCTAACCCATGATCCGTCCACCACTGAGGGTATTTTACGTTAGCTCTGTGGTCGGTGCAAACAGGGTGCGGAATTCATTTCGACCAGCCATCGCTGGGATTCGAACCCAGTTCACCTCAATGGAAGGCGAATTCTCTATCCCCTGAGCCATCAGGGGCTCCCTGATATTGCATTCCTATTCCTTCCCTGATATTGCATCCCCTGAGCCACCCTAGTGGCGTATGGTGTTATTCCGAGCCTTGGTTTCTATGCAATGTTTATCCTGATGATATACCCTAACTTCCTTAGAAGTTAGTCGCAATATTTACGCGACCCCCGACTGCACATAACATTTCTAAACTTACACATTTCGATAAAAAAAAGAGACTTAAAATGCCATTTAAAAAAACTATAGTTAGGAGAGAGAAAACGATTGAAGATTTGAAATCAATAAAATTATAGACTCTAAGATCTGTCAAAAAATCTCATTCAAAAAAAAAAAATAAATAAATAAATTTTTCCCCTGTGTAATGAATGATACACGACTTTAACGAAGTACTTAATTTTCTAGGCTTAAAAACAGCTGTATGTATAAAATATTAAACTTTTATTATGCTACTTCTATGGTAAAAAAAATATTCCTGATGTTCCTATATAATCTAAATTTGATTTTCACCCATTCATTTTATGTGTTCTTTTATTAAGTGTTTCAATTATTTCATAAATTATAAATCATTAGATGACTTTGTTAAATTGCATGATCTAAGTGGTAAATTTTTGTCTCTAAAATGGAAATTAAAAGATCAAGGAATCGAGAAAAATTGTTCTGTAATAACGGCAACCTAAAAGATGCGTTTTTGTAACCAAATGTGTTGTTGCAAGTACAATTAAAATGTAATTTATGATTAACTATTTTTTACACATTTTATGTTGCAATAAACAGCATGAAAAGTTTTCATATGAATAATGTTTTTATAACATTAAGCTAACTTTATAAAAAGAATATAATTAACATGATAAAAACTTTCTTTTATAATCTTAGAATATTTTTCACTCAATTTTAAGAATTTTCAAAAAATAATACTTTTTAGAAAAATTAATATTTGTGAAAATTTTTATAGCACCTATGTTACTATAGGATTAGAAAAAATGGATTTCAGCAATCATTATTTGATATTTTTTATCATTGATCACTGAGTGATCAGTTTTTATTTAGTTTACCAAATGATATCTCCATAAACAATAATTCTTGATATAACGACATTTAATATTTTAACCCGATGTTTAATATTTAACGAGGGAGTGACTTAATGTTTTCCATTACTATGACTACCGTTTCTTTCTAATTGGTTTACTAAATGGAATCATATAGTGATTCTTGATATGACGAGTAAATAAGTAAATCAATGAGTGGGTGAATATTTAGTTAATATGGAGCTAGGAAGAAAACAAATCAGTGTATTAGTTTGTAAATATAAATAAATCAATGAATAGGGTGAAATAATGAATTCTAAATAAATAAAAAAAATTTAATCTTTCATTTATGTTATGCCAATCAACAATAAAAAAAATTATAAAATTTGTACAATTTTTTCAATGTAGAAAGTTACGAACTAGAGTAATCTGATAAAAAAAATGAATTATTCATGTGAATTATTTATTCACAGGGTGATTCTGGTGGTCCATTAGTGAGTGAAATTGGTGGAAAATATGTTGCTTTGGCAATAGTATCACAAGGAACTCTTACTCAGTGTAATCAACCCTTACTTGCACAGGCATACACGAAAATAAATCCCTTTGAAAACTGGATTCAGAAACAGATTGGAAATGAATACAACATTTGTTTTGTTTGAATAAAATTATTGTGCATTGTGTTGGTTGTACAAATCAAAATCAGGATATTACGCATATAAAAATCCCTCTACAAATAGCAATACTAAAATGGAACACCTGAATTTTAAATCAAAATAAACTTATACTATAAATATTGTTTGAATTTTCCATCGAAATATGCAAAGCAACATAGTTTATTTGAATTGAAAAACAAAACAAAATAGCACTCCCTCAAAGTTTTGTTTTAAATTATACTCAAGTTTAAGACGCTAAATTTTTAAATTTTCACACAAAATTTTTTTTAATTTAAACACAAAAGCTTGTAAGCTCTCTCTTTCTTTTTATATCAAAACATCAATTCCACAGCCAGGCTGGAAATTCGAAAAATCGGGACAATATGCTGGTTCTTCTTAGAGTTCGATTTTAAGGAAAATTGTGTGAGAATTGACCGTGCTTGTCGAAGAATAAAGCGATCGTATTAAATTTACCTGGTATTAACTACGAAGAATAAACTGCTGTAAAATGAAATATAAACAGCTGTATTATACACCGAAGAGCCATTACATTATGACCACCCTGCTAATAACATGTAGGAATAATAAAACTCTTGA